ATTTTGTAGTTTTCATGCTAAAATTGTAAATTTAGGGCCTTCCTAATTTTGGTGTATTTTCACATACGAATTTCTCCATTTTTTGCTATCTTTTCCCTCTCTTTTTCTCGATTAATAATAAGAGGTTATATGAGACTTAATGGATGTTATATGTAGTTGTAGGCTTGAATTTCAAGTTCAAACCACTCCTTCAAACACTTTTAATGTCTTATAGGTCAGGTCACCCCACATAGGCGGCCTACGACCCATACTTTCTAATATCTCTCACTCGCACGTGATGAGCTTAACCCAAATCACTAGTGACAACGAATATCACTTGTTAGATCCTTCTCATGTTCTATCTCACAAAGATTCATACAATAAATAGATCGTTCGAGCAACAAGTTCATATTAGAGCTTACAATACTATAAACATGTTAAGGATATATAGTAGCTCTATTAGAGGAACATTACATCTCGTTACACTCCAAAACTCATTTTCCAACATCAATTCAAGTATTTCTGATCCCTCAAATATTTATGGAACATACATGAATGCCACATTGTATCAATGTATTCACAATTATGTTCTATAAGACATAATTGTATGACAGGTGAATATAGATATAAATGTTGGTCAAATTAGTTTTCATTTCCTACTCGACTTCTTTAACTTTAAATCAGTTGCTTTCCTAGATATGTCCCATCAAACCGAATCAATCATAGTCATTAGTAACATGCTGAAGTAACAATATTGAAATAAAATATCAAGAAACAATCAAAAGTCATAAGGATATATTTGAGGTTATATAAACAATAAGGTCTCACATAATGAGGAAGTAAGGATTCATTCACTCATTTATCCAATATTGGTCAAAAAATATACATGGTATGAAACACGTGCTACTATTTCTTTCCTTTCTTAGAGCGTACGACATATTCTTTATAAACAAATAACACCGTAAATATCCTGGTTCAGGCATTCACCGATACCTAACTTGAATTTTCCTTATATTCATTCGTTCAGGAAATCTCAAATTGAGAACTCAATCTGACTACTAAAAAAATTTAATGGATAGCAAAATTCATTTTGATTAGTTGTTGCAATCTTATCTTGACATCTTATCAAGGCAATCTGATCTTTTACACATCATGATCACTTTATCTCATCTCAACACACCCTAAAGTGTTTGAGGTGATTGTTGGTGTAAGCGAACCAATCTCAACCAGTTCGACATACTTTATACGTGTGTGCAAATCATTATCTCGTAATTCCAATGATAGATTACGCATGAACTCAAAATTATTCATTTTTAGGCATACAAATCTCAATCAAGAGTTTTCAGAGACACTAAATATCATTTTCTATGCAATTGTAGAGATTTATCAATACCAACAACTATATCTCTAGACATTTTCAACTACGATAATTACATAGGATTTTGCTACTTTTACATAAAATATGCACATATACGGTTATCGAAAATGATGTGGATGAAAAAGGTCATTTTGTTTTAAACTGACAAATTGTAGAGTGATATATGACATTATATAATCCATTATGTAAATCTTGATACATATGTAGCAAAATCTGATTACATATCATCATTTACATAAATATATTGTAAAGACACTTTCTTTGATAATGTCTCTCACGGAAATTTTATTGAGCATATGGTTTCATCATGATACTTGAGATTCTCAACACATGAGATAATTGCATAATTATCATAGATCTCATATTCTCAAATATTATCATTAGATACCTAATACATCCATACCAAATAATTTCTTCATCTGTCAAGACAGATACTACAAGATATGCTTCTTGCTACTCTATATTGCAAGATTGTACAAGTCTAATAATTATTTTTGCTCGAGTAGCTCTCATTCTTAGTTAACATTTGCATATTTATTCCAATTACAAGTTGGAGACTTCATTTAACGAGCCTAGTTAAATCAAGTTTTAGTTTAAAAGTCCTCCAACAAAGTTTTTTAGTTAGATGGCCTCAAGATACAAAGAAAAGGAAAATATAATTTGTAAATTACTAAAATATCCTTGTATGAAAATGCATAGATTTTCGTAACGACATTGAAATTATTCCTGAAACACGAAATGATATTTATGTCGTTCTAGTACGAAAATTGTACTAATTTACATAACGATATTGAAACAGTTCCGGAGATATAAAGCGAAATTGATGTTGTTCCACTATGAAAAATACATTGCTCCCAAAATTTTGTCCTTCATTCAATGGAGACCTTTTCTCACATAATTTTAGAAAAATGACAACAAATAATAAGTATCAAACTTACGAAATAACACAACGATATCCGCATCATTTCAGTACAAATCTGGAAAGATAAAATCAATATTTTTAGCCAAAACAATATACTTATCGTTTTATATGAAAAGAAACGGTATTTATGTCGTTGTAGTTATTATTTGAACTGTAACGATTTCAAACTCGTCAAATTTGTATCGAAACGATATGGACGTCGTTATGTTATTTCATGGGTTTGATACATAACGACGTCCATATCGTTTCAGTACAATTTTGACGACATTGATATCGTTTCAGTTTAAATCATAACTAAACGATACATATATCGTTTTAGTTTATATAAAATGATAATTATATCGTTTCTATTAAAAATGATGATTGACCGTCCACGATCACTCGACAAGCATCTGACATATGTATGACGATCGAAATAGGTCATCAAGTGGGTTCGATCTCACTCAAAAAAAATATGGGAATATTTGTGTTCTTATGACTATATACAACATTCGAACTATTCCGAAAGAAAGAAAATATCTTCTTTCGTTCTTTCTAAGTCATTCGAGTGACATCAACCCACTTGATGACCTTTTTCGATCGTCCTACGTATGTTGAAGGCATGCTGGGTGGTTGTGGATGATCGAATCGTTATTTTTAGCCAAAACAATATAATTATCGTTTTGCTTGAAAAGAAACGATATCTATGTTGTCGTTGTTTTATTTGAACTGGAACGGTTTCAAACTCATCAAATTTGTACTAAAACAATATGGACGTCGTTATGTTATTTTGTGGATTTGATACATAACGATGTCCATCGTTTGAGTACAATTTTGACGGCATTGATATCGTTTCAGTTTAAATCATAAAAAAACAACATATATATCGTTTTAGTTTATATAAAACGATAATTACATCATTTCTGTTAAAAATGATGATTCGACTGTCTACGATCACTCGACATATGTAGGACGATCAAAATAGGTCATCAAGTGGGTTCGATCTCACTCAAAAGAAACTATGGGAATATTTGTATTCTCATAACTAAATAAACATCGAAGGTTGGATACAATTATGGCAACACAAATGTTCTTATCGTTTCTTTTGAGTGCAATCGAACCCATTTGATGAACTATTTCGATCGTCCTATATATGTCGGGGGTCGTGGCTGATTGAATCGTCATTTCTGGTAGAAACGATATAAATGTCGTTATATACAAACTGAAACGAGATATATGTCGTTTTAGTTATAATTTATCCTGAAACGATATCAATATTGTTGAATTTGTAATAAAATGATAGTGATATTGTTATGTACCAAACCCACTAAATAACATAACGACATACATGTCGTTTCAGTACAAATTTAGCGAGGTCGAACTCGTTTCGATTGAAACCTATGCTAAAACGACATCTAAGTCGTTTCAGTTTACAGAGAACGACATGGATGTCGTTATGCATAAAATTGACGATTCGTTGCCTCTTTCTAAGTTATTCGAGTGGTATCAACCCATTTGATGACCTATTTCGATCGTCATATGTATGTTGAAGACATGACGGGTGGTTGTGGACGGTCGATTCGTTGTTTTAGCCAGTACAATATAATTATCGTTTTCTATTAAAAGAAACGATATCTATGTCGTTGTAGTTATGATTTGAATTGGAACAATTTCGAACTCGTAAAATTTGTACTAAAACGATATGAAAGTTGTTATGTTATTTCGTGAATTTGACACATAACGATGTCATTATCGTTTCAGTACAATTTTGACGACATTAATATCGTTTCAATTTTAATCTTAATTAAAATGGCATATATATCGTTTTAGGGTATATAAAAGGACAATTATATTTTTAAAGGTATATCAAAAGTATATCTTGCACGCCGTAAAAAGTTTACGTGGGCGATGAAGGGGAAAAAAGAAAAAAATTAATGGTTGGATCGGTGGATGATTACTCAAAAATATAAAAACAATTATTTGAAATAAAATTAAAGATTTTAAGTTAATTGTCACTAATTATTTATATATTTCAAAATCATAAATTTTGTAAACATTCAGTTCATCTTTATTAAAATTAATCTTTCAATACATAATACATATATAAAATAAAGTAAAATATTTGACTATAATTTTTCAAGATATTCAGAGCTACATGGTTATATATATATGTTATTGTAATAAAATAAACAATATTGTTCAATGACCTAGTGGTGTGTGGAGCATATTCTTTCCATAGAGATTGAAGGTTTAAAACCTTGAACCTTCAAAAATTTCTTTAAAATTTTTAGATTCGATCAAACGGGCTTGACTGGACCGGATTTTGACTCAAAATTCTTCATTTATTTGATTATACAAGGGATGATAAAGTAGACATTTGAGATTTTTAAATAATTAATTCCTTTTCCTTTTAAAGAATTTTGATCAAATACCTTTTAAACAAAAGTGGTGGCCATTCCAACAGATTCCCCCCTTACAAGTTAGATAACAAATAGAATAAGGCGTTGTATGGGAGGGATTAAAATCGGATTAAAATTGAAAATATAGTCGTTATTGTTGACTTTTATTAGACGAGTGAGATCCAATAACGACCATATTTTCAATTTTAATTGGATTTTAATCCCTCCCGAACGAGGCCTAACTAATAGCAGCTTTCTTCACATATCACAATACTCTTTATAAGGATAACGTTCTCTATTTTCACAGACTCCAAAAAAGCTTCACCGTTCGTCAAACTATCAAATGGCAGCCGCCTCGGACGAGCAATTTACGGCTGTAATAAAGCTGAAGCCCATTGAGGCGACTCCCGAGACCTTTCAAGAGTTCGGACAAGTGATTGAGGCGTCGATCGATGGCGAAGAGTTTGGACCTCATGACGCCCAGCTCGACCTGTCTCATGGAATCCCCAGGTCCTGTTCTACTCACTCTCTCTTTATGACTGAATATAAAAATATTGATGTGATTTAATCATAGTCAAATGGGTCATACGTGATTGAATCGTTCTGTGCGTATACTTTTAAGATTCTAGAGCTGTTATTGGTGATTATGAATAATTTTGAATTGAGTACTAGATGAGATAGAAAGAGTGTAGATGAGTTAAGTGTCACTCTTGGTTTCATTATTATGGAGGAGCTTTTTAAATTCTACAATGATTGACTTATATTGAATGTTAAATGTTAATGTTGAATACTGCAAAATAGGAACTAGGTTAGCCTACTCCATCAGTGGCCGAGGAAGGGACTCAGATGCTAATGAGAAAATATTAAGTAATTTTAACCGTGTTTTGGCTTAACTGGTGCATTTATTTATGATGGTTTGTAGGGGACCACCTTAATTTGATAATGATGGAAAAGTTGTGCCCTTGAACTATAAATAGGCTTTTACTAATTATTGGTGAGATTGAGCGCACCAAAATGACACCAGCCAGGTCTTTTCACAGCTTCGAATGGGTCGATGAGTTAATTATGCATACATTAGTATACTTAGGCCAGTATATGTTCCCTAAGATGGTTTCCGCCATCCATTTTGTGAAGGGAAGCATAAACCTTGAACTGGCGTCCAAGGTGGCAATGTCTAGGACGAAATTTGCCCACTAGGTGGTTTGGGAAACTTTTAAAGGTGCGGTTTGTTGCTTTGCAGTGTAGGATTTAACTTCGCTTTTGTTCCTCTTTTTGTTGACAAGGTTGTGTGTATAAACCATTGTCCTGGGTCAGCCGAGTGAGGTCAGCTAATGTATCTGATACACACACGAGGCCTAACTAAATATTTGTATCTCCAAATCAATGTTTGAACATCGTAGGCTTAGTTCATTATGGATTGTACTGGCAATTTTTGTTGCTAATAGTTATGACTTGGAATGGCAAGTGTTCATGGGTACAACATGTAATTATGCTATTGTCCCAGTTGATGAATTATTCCACGGAAGTTCAGTAACCGGTGGTTAAGCATTCATTTGTCCATGTGTGGGCAATATAGCAACAGCAGCATTAGTGGATGTTTAAGCTATTCCGGTTGAACCGCCTGGCAGCTGGCCAGTCAGGTTTTCAAAAAATTGATAAACAGTGATGAAATTTCAAATCATCGTTTATGTGGATGCTTAAGCTTTTATTTGGTGTGAAAGGAACTGACCGTTTGAGCCCCATTTTTTTAAGAATGCATTTTTTCAAAACTCATTCTCAACTATACATTCTCCTATAAAATAATATACACATATTTCAAAAACACTTCCTTACTTCTTAACCACACATTCTCAAAAAAATCACTATTTCATAATACATTTTGGGGATCAAACATGGGCCTAGTATTCTTTTGTAGTAACAAGTTTGATAGAGGAAGAGGCGAAGACCAGGTTATTTCCTCCATAAAGTAGTTGAAGATTTTATGACTTTTAGATTGTCATTTGTCAATTAGCGGGTTTACGCAAATAAGTTTTTCAATATCCCTAGTGGAAGCATATGACAAATCTAACTGAGAGGTCGCAATTTGGAAGGTATATCTCAGCATGTCACTACACCTGGTCAATTACGGGACATGTCTGGGTAGAACACTTTTCTTTACAGGATTGGTCCTGAATCTTGTGTGCTTCTGTTTGCATTGTAATTGCCTTGATTAGCTAGGACTAGTCTTGATTAGGACATCACCTACTTTGGACTCCTACTTTTGGCTTTGGACTCCTACTTTTGGGCTATCTTTATAAGGAAATTACACAAAAAAGAGTTTTCAAGATTTAATTTCAAATTTCAGATATAAGGTTTCACTTTTCAAAAATCACATATTTTATTTTTAAATATTAAATATTAATTATACAATTTTCATCCCAAACCTTAATTATTTCATTTCAAATTGGCAAACCCTAGAATTTATCACTCTCCTCTTTCTCGGTCTTCTAACTCTCTTCCCTCCATCTCTTCTCCCTCCGTCACTTTTGCTGCCACCACCGCCCCCGCCTTTGAGCGCTCGCCCTCTCTCTCTCTCTCTCTCTCTCTCTCCCGCTCTCTCTTCCTCTCATCCCCTTCTTCTTCTTGGAGTCGTCTTCACAAAGGCCAACATCGCGCTTTTAGGGCTTTTTTGTGTCTGTGCACTGCGGTGTTGCAAGCATCGTCGTACCGCCCTGGTGGTTGTGGTATAGTGGATTTGTGGAGGTCGTGTCGGCGTGGTGGATTTGTGGTTGTGGTATGATGGATTTATGGAGGTCGTGGATTTGTGGTGGTCTATGGTTGGTTTGCTGTAGATTTGTGGAGGTCGTGGTGGTGGCAACGATTCGGGGATTTTTTGGTAGGGTGGGGCAGTGGGTGGTAATGGTGGCAGACGTGATGGTGAGGTGGTGGCGGCTACGACGGTGACAGAGGTGTTGGTGTGGTCGTGGCGACGACTGTGATAATTTTGGATTTGATTTTTTGATGGTGTTTGGGTGGTGGTTGTGAAGTTGGCTGCGGTGGTGATGTGATAGTAATGTTGGTGGTGGTGGTGATATGGCGGTGGTGCTGTGACTGTGGGTGGTGGTGGTGTGCTGTGGGTGGTGCGGTGCGCAACGGATCTGTGCGGTGTGCGGTGGTGGATCTGTGCGGTGTGTGGTGGTGATGTTGGCTACGGTTTGTTGTGGAGAGGTGGTGTTGGTGGTTCTGGTGACAGTGGTTTAGGCTATTGCAACGGTGTGGTGGTGGTCACAAATGATTTGGTTGATTGTGACCAATGAATTTGTTGAAATGTGACCAATGAAACAAATAAATTGTGACCAATACATACTTTGTGACCTAAAAATTTATTACTTTGTGACCAATAATTTGATAAACTGTGACTTAAATATAATTTGTGATCAGTTAATTTGAGGTTTTGTGACCGCAAAAAAATTTGTGACATAAAATTTGTGATTTATGACCAATGAATAAAATGTGACATATTAATTTGATAGATTTGCGACCGATAAATAAATTGTGACGTATAAACTTGATAGATTTGTGACCGATAAATAAATTGTGACCTATAAAATTTTTGAATTGTGACCGTAAAATAATTTGCGACATATAAAATTTATGATTTGTGACCAATTATATGGAATTTGTGACCAAATTATATGGAATTGTGACCTTAAAATATTTCATTAATAAAATATATATTTAATTAATTAATTTATAAATAAAAGTTAAAAAATTCTGAATTTTGAAAATTTAAACATAATATCTTAAATTTGAAATTGGTAAAACTAAACCTTTTATTTATGTAATCTTCCTTATCTTTATTTATACTTTGTTAGTTTTAATTGGGTTGTATATGGGTTTGGCCCAAGCCCCTTTATCTCTAGGTTTGCTCTTTTCTCTATATATATGTCTTGTAATGTAAACTTGAAAGTTCAGTTGATGAATGAATTGAAATGAATATGCTTGTATATCAAGTTTTCTTCCCTCTCCCCTGATTTCTCTCTTCTCCCCCTGTTTCTCCTCCTGTTCTCCACCCCCTTTCTCTTCAGTTTCTCCCCCTTTCTTGCTACCTGCTTCTTCTTCTGCTTAACTTATGCTGCTTATAAATTCTTTGCTGAAATCTCAATCCATCTATCAGAGCTAAACCTGGATTGCATCATCAATTTGCATTCCAAAACACTCAATTCAACCTCTTTGCATTGACCAACATGTCTCCCACCACCCATGGCTAAACAAATAGCACCAAAACATTGTTGTACTTTCATAAACAACCATCATTTTTCCCCTAAATTTCAGCCACCGATATCAACAAACCTGCAACCGACCAACAAATTGCCTTCAGCTAATTTCTTTAATGTTCACCTGAAGATTCAAAAGGGAGTTCAAGCTGTACCTTGTAATTGAATTACCAAATCACAACAATCATCAATCCAATCCAAATACAACTTCCCAGCATCTTCACTATGACACACTATGCAAACCACAGCAACACCACACAACTGGAATCAAAACTGCCCACCCCATAACCTAGCCCAATTATTTTTATCAAAACACTTAAGCCATAAAAATAAGCCCAACATCAACACAAAACCAATATCCTACTACCAATACTAAAACTTTTCACCCAAATTAAACTCAAGCCCACTATGCGGGCCTATCCCAGCCGCGATAATCATCCGCAACATCAACAACTTACTGCCATCGATCATCTTAACTCTGGCATCCAACCACCCAAAGCCACCAGGCCTTCTGTCCTTGACACATCGCAACCCCACACCAGCTCTCGCCCCCGATCACCCCGACAAACACATAAGACAGACCCACACATATTATCCCACATAAATAAATCACCAAAAACCATAAAAATCCAGTCGTTGACCGTCTCTCTCACTTCATACGGAAGCATGCCAGTAGTGGCTTTACGCCTACACCTTTCTAATCACGAGCCGACCACCAATACCCAACTGTACAATCGTCAACTTGCAATTGCACCATCTGATATCATCCAACAAGACACACAAACACCTACAGCTTCATTCCAAATTGCAAGTAGTATTACCTCCGATTGACAACAAACACCATACGACCACGTCATCTGCCGCTGGTCGACTACTGAAAAGAAAATGGTGGACATCTCTAGTCCAGCGTCTCTGCCTCTAGTTTGGTATTTTTGGATTTGGTTATGCAATGTGTTTTATTGTTTATTTAACAAGTGTATATGAATTTTGTTAAAAAAGAAAAGAAAACTGAAAAAAAAAAGTTATAAAAAGAGAGAAAATCGTCTGATATTATTTGCAGGTGACCTTTTTTTTGTTCTTGTTGATTGACACGTTCACTCGGACAATTCAGTCACCACTTTGCCACCGTAGCCGTGCCAATTTAACAATCGTGATTGGGGGCATTGTTTGACTCTTTTGAGTCTCGTGAAATTTTAAAGATGAGTTGCATAGATGTTTGTTAGTTGAAGTCCAATATAAGTACTTAATTAGAAGGAGAGATCGTTCCCTTGATCAAATCATATTCTTGGGAATAAGCTACAGTTTTCATTGCTATCAATCACGAAATTTTGATATTTGATTCTTAAGAAAGGTCATCTCTCGTGGCATGAGTTCAGTCACTTTTGCTGATGATTGATAGCTTGACTGCAGCCTTTCATGATCTGTCCACTCGACAGAGTCAAGTTTTTTCCCCCCACGTGAGAGTTGATGAGGACATTACCTACTTTAGACTCCTACTTTTGGGCTATCTTTATTGGGAAAATTACACTAAACTAGGTGTTTAGTTTGATATTTTAAAAAATCAGGTTTATACTTTATTTAATAAAAAATCAGGTTTTAATTTCACTATTAATATCAATAATAATATTTTAAATTAAATTAAATATATACCCACCCCTACCCCCAAATTTCAATTCCCAAACCATACTTCTCCCCTCTCCTCCCCTATTTCTTCCGTCTCCTCCTCCCCCATTTCTTCCATCCCCTTTCCTTTGCTGCGAATCGCAGCAGCGTCACTGCGACGCTGATGCGATTTTCAGTAGCTAGCATCGCTACTGCGACCCAACAGCGCGGTGCTGCGATTCGCAGCAGCGTCTCGCCCTGCTGTGGGTACGCTTGTGGTCGTCCGCCTCTTGGAGATCTATTCCAGATCCCGATTTGTAGTATTT